AAAAAAAAAAAAAGAAAAATTAGCCAGGCATTGTGGTACATACCTGTAGTCCTAGCTACTTGGGGGCTGAGGCAGGCAGGAGGATCACCTGAACTGGGGAGTTTGAGGCTGCTATGAGCTAGGCTGATGCCCCAGCACTCTAGCTTGGGCCACAGAATGAGATTCTGTCGCCCCCAAAAATGACGAAATAAATAAGTAAAAATTAAAAAAAAAATTCCTGAGACCCACCCCAGACCAGCTGAACCAGGATTTGTTAGGGTCTTGAGTAGGTATCAGAATTTTTATTTTTTCTATTTTTTATCCCTGACATACCGGTACTCCTTAGCCTAGTCATCTTTTCTCTATCCTTCCTACTCCCTGCCTGTCTTCCCTCTGCCCCACCCTTTCTTCCTCAGCTCTGCCATCTGCCCAGCAGTCTAGGACACAGTGTGCTCCACCCCTGCTCCACCCAAGCTAGTGGGAGTTTTCTTGTTCTTTTTTTTTTTTTTTTTTTTTGAGGCAGAGTCTCACTCTGTCACCCTGGGTAGAGTGCCATTCAGTATTAGCTTTTTAAAAGTACCCCAGGAGAAGCTGGTGTCTAGAGTAAGGGACTACTGTTTTAAAACCACTGGTTCAGCAAGAGTTGGTTGGGGTGATTTTTGGAAGACAGCGCAATTGAGGCTACTGTCCTGGACTATTGAAATTTCCTATAGGTCCTCTTGGCCTTTATGAGACCCTGTGTAGTTAAGGTCTAGTAACTGGGTGGATGGGAGGCATAGACATAGAGGCCGGCTCTAGCCAAACTCACTTGAATTGGCCTGGAAATTATTTCTGGGAATTGAGAGGGCTGGTTCTCTCCACTAACTGCTACTCCCTTCCTGTCCCTACTTCCCATCTCAGATACCTGCTGTACAACTTCCCAATGACCTGCGCCTTCATAGGTGTTGCCAGCAACTTCACCTTCCTCAGTGTCATCGTGCTCTTCAGCTACATGCAGTGGGTGTGGGGGGGCATCTGGCCCCGACGTGGCTTCTCTTTGCAGGTTGCAAGGGTCAAGGACCCTTTTTTTCTCTCTTTCATGATCTTTCTTTGTGGGTGGGCAGGGACATGTTGGGGGTTAGGGCATGAGGGCCCTGATAGGTGAGAAGGAAGTCAGTCCTCACTGCTCAGTAGTTTCTCCTCCACAGGTTAACATCCGAAAAAGAGACAGTTCCCGAAAGGAAGGCCAGGGAAAGATCTCTACCCATCAGCCAGGTAAAGGTCTCAATTGGGAGAGAAATTGGGGAGGTAGGCTCATCTGAACAGGGCTTGGCAAGAGGGAGGCCCAGCTGCGTCCAGTGTGAGGCTTAAGGCAAAGCCAAAAGAGGTGAAGTTGTCACTGCTGTCCAGGCACAGCCACCCTTAACCCTAACCTGTCTTCTACCCACTTTGGAGGCACAGGGTCTGAAGGCCAGGAGGAATCAACCCAGCAATCAGATGTTACAGAGGATGGTGAGAGCCCTGAAGACCCCTCAGGGACAGGTATGACACAGCAGCAGCATTCCCTCCTTCCTGACTCCTTAGCACTCCCTTCGCGGTCTGGGTTTAATCTCTGTGGTCCCCTTTTGGCTGCAGAGGGTCAGTTGTCTGAGGAAGAGAAACCTGATCAGCAGCCCCTGAATGGGGAGGAAGAGCTGGAGCCTGAGGCCAGTGATGGTGAGGGGCACCCTGCAATGTGGCCTGGGTGGGATGACGGTGGGATGCCAGACAGGGGTAGGTAAAGACCCTGCAACTTTAAGGCCACACATGACCTTCTGGGTCCTTAAGTGTAGCCATTTGACTGAATACAAATTTTATGAAACTAAATTCTTTTATTAAACAGGCGGGTGGTGCCTATGGCTCAAGGAGTAGGGTGCCAGCCCCATATACCAGGGGTGGCAGGTTCAAACCTGGCCCTAGACAAAAACTGCAAAAAAAAAAAAAGGTGCATCAGAGAAAGATGAAGCTTTTCTTACCTCCTTTGGTGCCTACAAAAGAACAATCTTGGGCGGCGCCTGTGGCTCAATGAGTAGGGCGCCGGCCCCATTTACCCAGGGTGGTGGGTTCAAACCCGGCCCTGGCCAAACTACAACATAAAAAATAGCTGGGTGTTATTGTGGCAGGTTCCTGTATTCCTAGCTACTCCGGAGGCTGAGGCAAGAGAATCACCTAAGCCCAGGAGTTGGAGGTTGCTGTGAGCTGTGACTCCATGGCACACTACCAAGGGTGATAAAGTGAGACTCTGTTTCTAAAAAGAAAGAAAGAAATAACAATCTTGGGGTGGTGCCTGTGGCTTAAGGAGTAGGGCGCCAGCCCCATATACTGGAAGTGGCGGGTTCAAACCCAGCCCAGCCAACAACTGCAACAACAACAACAACAACAAAAAATCTTGGCCAGGCATGCTGGCTCATGCCTGTAATTCTAGCACTCTGTGAGGCCAGGGAGCAATGTGAGACCCCATCTCTACAAAAATAGAAAAATTAGCTGGGCATTGTGGTGGGTGCCTGTAGTTCCAGCTACACAGGAGGCTGAGGAAGGAGGATTCCTTGAGCCCAGAAGTTTGAGATTGCTGTGAGCTATGATGCCATAGCCCTGTCGCCTAGGCAACAGAGTGAGACTCTTGTCTCAAAAAAAAAAAAAAAAGAAAAAGAAAAAATCTTGAAATCAGAAAGTTCTCACCTCTGAATCCCATTGGGATTTGTCTTTCCCTTTCTTGGCCCAGGTTCAGGCTCATGGGAAGATGCAGCTCTGCTGACTGAGGCCAACCTGCCTGCTCCTGCCTCTACTCCTGCCCTTGCCCCGGAGACCCTGGGCAGCTCTGAACCCTCTGTGGGTGCTGTTAGACAGCGCCCCACCTGCTCTAGTTCTTGAAGAAAAGGGCAGATTCCTCACATTCCAGCACTTTCTTACCTGACCCCTTTCACCTTGTTTTCCCTTCAATAAAGTATTTTGGAGCCAGCTACTTCTCTGACTCTTTGTAATGAGTTCAGGACCTTTTGAAAATCTCATGTCTGGGCTTGGCACCTGTGGCTCAAGCGGCTAAGGCGCCAGCCACATACACCTAAGGTGGTGGGTTCGAATCCCCAGCCCGGGCCCG